GTGCTGCATCCAGTTTTGGGCCCTCACTGCAAGAAAGACATTGAGGCCCTGGAGCGGGTTCAGAGAAGGGCGACAAAGCTGTGAGGGGTCTGGGGCACCAATCTTATGAGGAGTAGCTGAAGGAGCTGGGAATGTTCAGTGTGAGAAGAGGAGGCTCAGAGGAGGAGGCCTCACTGCTCTCTGTAACTGCCTGCAGGGAGGTTGTGGTGAGCTGAGGTCGGCTCTTGTCTCCTGTAACAGTGATAGAACAGATGCAATGGCTTCAAGCTGCTCCAGGGGAGATTTAGGCTGGATGTTAGGAAATACTGGGGTGGTCAGGCACTGCAATGGGCTGCCCAGGGAGGCGGTGGAGTCACCAACCCTGGAGGTGTTCAAGGAACGTTTGCATTTTGTGTTGAGGGACATGGTTTGGTGAGAGCTATTGGTGATGGGTGGATGGTTGGGCTGGGTGATCTTGTAGGTCCTTTCTAACCTTGGTGTTTCTGTGACTCTGTGTTTAAAGGAAAATTCGTGGTGTTTCCTGGACACGCAGGTTTAGTGCAGTGTCTTCCAGCAGGAAGTTTGCAGGAAGCAAGCTGCAAGTGTCCCTTACAGCTCAGTGTTACCTTCCCAGAATGAGGTGCTGGAGAAGCTGCAGAGATGAGGTCTTAACAAAAGAACTATGAGGGGCTGTTGTTGATCTGCTCTTGCCTAAACTGCCTTCACATTTCTACATTCTCTTTTCTTTGTGTCTCTCTGTCTCCTGCTAGCCTAAAATTTGTGAAGCCATTAGCCTGGGTCACCCAGACAGCCTGCCTCACCAGTTCTACCTCACTTACAAATATTGACATGGCATTTGTATTTCTGCTAGGTTAGAGAACCTGCGTCTAAGAAAGCCTCTCCGGAGGAAGCTATTGAAATGAAACTGCTGGAAAAGGACAAAGAAGGAGTTGTGAACTCACAGCTGCAGTGGCAGCTTAATCTTTTAGCTCATGTGGAATCTCTGCAAGATGAAGTCATACACAGGATGGATTTCATTGAGAAGGAGCTAGATGGTAAGGAGCATTTTTCTATTAAAAAAACCCTGCATTTTGTTCAAAAAAACATCTGTCTGTAGACTTACTTCTGCAGACCTACAGAGTGATGAGCGTTAAGCTGTGAGATGGACTGCATTGAGTAATAGAAAGCAGACACTTGTGGTGCTTGGAAGGTTTGAAAACAAAATTGAAGATCAAATTAATACCATGAAGAATTTAATTTGAATAAAAAATCCTGCTTGCATCATCTCTGAATACTTGCATCAGATGACGTACTGGAATGTTTTTCATGTCTTGTTTTTGTTGTCATTTTCCATAGTGCTTCTGTGTCTCCAAGCTTTGCTGTTCTTTGGGGCTTGCTGGCGGTTCTGCCCTCTTCTGTATGGCCGCTCCAATGTTCTCCTGGTCTATTGCAGACAGTTCTCCTTTCTCTCTTATTGAAGGGTGTGGGCAGAAGGGACACGCTCTCCTTGACCTCACTCTTCTGACCAGTTTACTGCCTTATTTTTCACATCCCTCACCAAGTGCAGTTCCATCTGTGCCTTGGCTTTGCTCATCCTATCTCTGTTCATCCAGACAACATCCCTCTCCTCTGCCCAGCACGCCTCCCTGCTTCCTCTCCCTGCACGTTTCCTTCTTACCCCTCACTTTGAGCAGTGTGTCCCTGCTCAGCCTGCTGGTTTCCTGCCTCCTCTGCCTGATTCCTTACCCTGGGGGATGGAGAGCTGTTGTGCTCTCAGGCTGGCGTCCTTAAGAGGTGCCAGCTCTGCTTGGCTCTTCTGCCCCTGAGGACAGCTTCCTAGGGGATCTCATCCAGTAATTCTTTAAACAGCTGGAAGCTGGATCTTCTGAAGTTCAGGGCCCTGTCTTTACTTCTTGCCAGGCCCGTACTCCTTGATCTTGAATTCCCTCACACCATGATTGCTGCACCCCAGACAAACTCTGATCTGAACCTCACTAATGATTTATTTTACACTGGTGAGCACCGGTTCTCTTAGTGCTTCAGCACTGGTTGGTCTGTCCAATACCTGCACCAGCAGGTTGTCCTACACGCAGCCCAGGAGTCTCCTGGATTGCTTGCAGCCCGCTGTGCTGCTGCCCCAGCAGAGGCACCGGGTGGTTGAAATCTCTCATTGGGATGAGAGACTGAAAAAGTGTGATGCCTATTTTAGCTGGAGCAAGAAGGCTTCATCCTCAGGCTCCGTCTGATCAGGTGCCCACAGTTGACCCAACTGCCAGATGCCCTTTGAGCTCCTGGTTTTTAACCCACAAACTCTTGACCTGAGCATGGCTGTTCCTCAGAGGCAGCCCTTTGCAGTCTGCCCACCTCTTAGCATGGAGGGCAGCTCCCTGGCCCCTCCTGCCCTGCCTTTCTCATAAAGCTTGTAGCCCTCCATCTTGGTGCTCCAGCTGTGCAGTTTCTTCCACATTTCTGCGATAGCAGTTCTGTCACTGCTTTCTGACTGTGCCAGCACTTCCAACCCCTCCTGCTCTGGGTGCTCCTTGATTTCAGGCCCCTCCTTGCACACCACCTCTCCTGCTTCCTGCAGAAGGTGTCTGTCTGCGCTGGAGCCGATGGTCTCAGAGACTGCAGTTCTTTATATTACCAGTCAGTTCTTTTAAGATCCCATCATAAGGCATTCCAATAGTATGATCTTCCTAGCACCACGTGGTGTCGTCTCTCACTACTTTCTCCTGGGAACATCTGGGTTTTGTCCTTTAAAACTTCCCTTCAACGTTGAATTGGTTGTTTAGTATCAAAAGCTCTTCCTAATGATGGATAGCAGGAGTCGCTCTGCGGCATCTCAGCGCTGTTACATCTGTGCCTGCATTTCTCAAGGTTGATGCTGGATGTAAAGAACTCGTTCTGTGGCTCAGAGCAACTTATGTGGGAACTGAAGGAATGTCCCTTCTGTTTCTCTTGGCAGTTCTGGAGAGCTGGCTGGATTACACGGGGGAGTTGGAGCCACCCGAGCCGCTCGCCCGCCTCCCACAGCTCAAGCACTGCATAAAGCAGCTGATCACGGACCTCAGCAAGGTGCAGCAGATCGCGCTGTGCTGCTCCACGTGAGACCAGGGAGTGCTGGGACTGCAAAAAGCGCGACGTCGGGCGTCCGGCTGGAGAGCTGTGTGTATTTAAGTGAGGTTGGCATGCTGGTTGCATGTGGTGCAGATTGACTTCAGGGATTTGCGAAGAGGCGCTGCTCAAAGAACGGCCAGAAGGTTATTTTATCTCCTGATTCCGGGGCTGTTGGGAATGGAGGAGGTTAATACTGTTGTCTTCAAAGGCTGGGTGTTGGTTGATTAAATTATACTCAAATTTTCACTCCTTACAAGTTGCTCATGAACAGGTAGACTTCTCATGATTAAATTGACTAAAGTTGTGCCACTGAAGAACAGAGTTCTAAGAGCCAAAAATGTTCAGTTGACAGAGGTTGTAAATAACTCCACATAGTTTCAGTGACTTGTGTCATGTTTTATTCCTTCTGGTTTATGCGTAATGCACACTGTATTTAATCATTAGGAAATGTTATAACGTTTTTCAGACCTAGTAAGTATGAATGCCCGGCTCCCAGCTTTGGGCTGCCACGTGGAGGGCGGCCAGGAGCCCAGGCAGCGCCTGGACAGCAGGCAGTGCAGCAGAAGTGCCGTGTGCTGCACTCAGTTTGGGATAAATGGCTGTTCTGGGTTCTGACCTTGTCTCTCTCCCAGTGCTGGGGCTGAGCTGCCTGCCCTGCTGCTCTGCAGGGGGAGGAGGGGCTGCAGTGGGTGTTGTGTGGCCTTTCCCTTTGTTAATAGTCGCCATTCCGGTTCTATTTTGAAATGTAGACTTTTCAGCACTCGGGATGTGTTCACTGTAAAGACTTACCATGAATGTGCGGTTTTGGGAATCAGTTTGTTTTATATTTGTGTAAATAAAGCCTCGAGATCTATGCATGAGGTGCTGTCCTGAGAGGCACTGAGTGGGTTGTTATCTTAACTGTGTGTGTTCGCGAGTTCCCTTTCCTGCTTACGTTTTGGTGTCCTGGTCTGTTACTCTGTGAAGCAAGGTGAAGATGCTGCGTGGATTCAGGTGCGTTGTGCAGTCCTTGAGGCAGTGCTGTGCTGTCAGAGGCATCAGGAGCCTTTCTGCTGTGGATCAGCGCTCCGGCAGCAGCACTGCAGCTTCGCTTTCCTTCCTGCCACAGCTGGGGTCACTGTACAGAACGGCGAGGGTGTTTTCCCATGGAGAGGGTGTCCTAAAAGAGCTGCACTGTGTGACGGTGCTGCCGAGGGTGGATTGAAGCTGCACTGAGCCCATCGTGCTCACTTACTGCAAATGGTAATGATTTACTGTGGAAACTCCTACAGTAATAATTGCAACATTATCTACACAGGGAATGTTCCAATCAGTCCCTGCAGAAGGTGAGGTAACAGGGCTTCTCCGGGTAGTTGCTGCAGCTTTGTGCAAGGAGTCATTCAGGGAATAATTGTCTCCGTTTCATAGTACGGCTGGTACACGATGAGCACAACACACGTACAGCAGAAAAATGAACTGCTCTGTAACACAGAATAAGGCTTATGTGGCATTGAGGATCTGCTTCACCCTTTGAAGATGGGTGCAGTGCTAGGCTGCCGCACTGCTGCTGGGAGCCCCAGCTCTCGGGTGCCATGGGGCAGGGCAGCCCAGCAGTGCAGTGCAGGCAGGAAGGGGGCTGTGGGGAGAAGGGCCAGGAAGGGGAACCTGTGAGACCTGCAGCAGGTGCTCCCACGGGGTTGGTGGGTGAGCATCGTGCAGCACACGGCTGTGCTGGGAGGCTGGGAGCAGCTCCTGAGCTGGCGGCTCTGCTCAGAGCTGAGCTGCTTGCTGTGCGTCGGCTGCGCTTTCACTCAGGGCAGTGCTGAGGAGACGGGGGAGAAAGGGCTGTTCTGAGGGGTGGGAGGCGGCAGAGCCTGGGCTGGTTCTCCTGTAGTGCAGCCAGAAGAAGCCCTCACAGGTAAAGGCTGGAAGTATTTATTTAAACTAGACTAGCGTTTCTCATGTTCAGGAAAGGTTCTTTATTGTGCTTTGGATTCATTTTGTCCCTGTTTCTGTAAGTTTCCGCATCGTTATTTCGTAGCCTGGGCTGGCTGTGGGGTCTGGCAGGTCACCTTTGTGTTCTTTAAATCACTGGTAAGTGAATGCAACGTGGAGCCTTGATGAAATGAGCAAACATTGCACTGTGGATATGTATTTGTCTTTGTTGATGCACTATTAGAACTGAGGGCGCTGTATATAGGATTTTGCTTTGGAGCAATATTTGCAAAACTTGAAAACTTCTGTATCTTGGTGTTTGGAATAAATAAATAGGTTTTTGTTGGTTAAGTCTTAGCAATGTCTTTGTTTCAATTAACGACTCAATAAAATAACTGGTTTTCTTTGTGTCTGTGGTCAAAACCACTCAAACGGCGTCTGGGAAGCCTGCTGCTGCTGTGTGGATGATGAGCTGTGCAGCGACGGCTCCTCGGCCTGCAGCATTCCTTTCGTGTATTTAAAATCCAGGGGGACAGGGGAGATGAGATCTGGGTGATGGGAGCAGAAGGGGGCAAAGGGGGTGGAGCTGAGCAGGGCCTGAGGAAACCCCTGCCTGGGCTGCACCTGGGGAACCGAGAGTGCGCAGGGGCTGCATGAGCCCGGCAGTGAGACATGAAAATGGGGAGAGCGGAGCGTGGCAGGGGCAGGAAGTGGGTCGGGTGCTGCCACAGCAGCCTCTGTGAGCTCTGAAAGGGTAGAGCAGAGGTTTCCAGGCCCTGTGTCACTGCTGTGTGCAATGGGGGGCTGCTGTCAGCCGTGGCACTGCTCTGATGTCTTTACAGCACTGCTGGGTTTGGTGTGGCACTGCCGCGCTGTCCCTGCTCCCACGTGGTCAAAGCACGTGGTCAAAGCAAAGGCTGCCCGAGCTGCAGGGCTGCTCTGTGTGCCTCAGTGCGGTGGTGCTGAATTTACCCCCCTGTAACCCTTAATTAAGAGATTGCAAACAGGTGCTGCTGTGTGCCCTGCGTGATCCTGTTTAATGGGTGAGGTAAAGCTTTAAACGTGTCTGTGGGGCTCTGGGGGCCCAGGTTCTGTGCTGCATGGAGCCCCACGTGTGCTGTGGGGCCTGGAGCTTGTGGGGCCGTGCCTCTGCATGGGCTCAGCCCCAGCCCTGGGCTCTGTCCCAGCTCCTGCAGAAGCTGCACCACTGTCAGCGTGGCTACCGCCAGCCGTGTGCCCTCACTGCAGGGCTGCAGCCTCTGCAGTGCCCTCTGAGTGCTGCTCAGGGCCCAGCAGCCCACGGTGGGGCAGGCATGGGTGCCCATCCCGGGGCTGTGGCGGCTGCGCCCTCAGCTGGTCTTCGCCCCCTTCCTCACAGGGCCAGTCTCTGTATCCACACCATCGGTCAGCAGCAGGTAGGAGCTGATGGCTTCCCGCAGGCCCAGGCTGATGGGGGAGTCCTCCTCTCCCTCCCCCGGAGGTGGCACAGCCTCTGAGAGCAGGACGGAGCTGTGGGGTGGACGGGGTGATCAGCGAGCAGCGCCCAGCCCCAGGGGGACCGCAGCCCCCACAGACGGCTGCCCCCACCTGTCAATCTTGTCCCAGTTGAGCGTTGGCTTCTTCACCACGGCAGGCCGGACCAGAGCAGGCACTGCCTTTGCCGTCTCCGTGACACAGGGCTCCCTGAGGGTGCAGCACAGACCCTCCCCGCACTCTGCGTGGGGACGGCAGCATCAGCGTGGTGCTGCACCGACCTGCAGGCACATGCAGGCGCTGGCTCCGGGCCGATCTCTGCTACTCCTTACCGCTGTAGTGGTCTACGAGGTCATGCAGGCTGGGGAAGGTGAGGCGGGGCGAGATGTAGAGCCAGCCGTTCTCCAGGCAGTGGATGCGGTAATGTGTGACTGCATCCCATGAGGCGAGCTCAGTGCGCCGCACCGACAGTGAGAAACCGCCTGCGGGGTGTGCGGGGCGCAGGGCTGAGCTGCCTGCAGCCCCACTCAGCCTCCGGCTCCAACAGCCTCACTTTTATCAGTGGGAGCACCCACAGCTCGGAGATGTGGGGCTGCCAGGATGGGCACTGTCCAGTGCTCCCCTCCCGCAGCATCAGGATGGCAGCAGTGTGAGTGCTGCGTGGCAGAGCTGCCAGGAGAAGGGCTCAGCCTGGGGGTGCCCAGCGGGGTCCCCTCGTGGTTGCTATGGGGCTCTGTGCCACAAGCAGGGCCCCTTTCATCTCTGAGGCTGAGCCTCCCCGCTTAACCAGCGGCTGCAGGAAGCTGGTTTGTTGGTTCGTCGGGGCCCTTTGGTAGAGGAAGAGGTGCAGCACAGAGCAGAGCAGTGGCAGCAGGAAGCGGCTGAGCAGGGCAATCCAGTGCCACCCGGTGTGGTGGCAGAGCAGCCTCGCTCTGGGCCTGGCTCTTGGCACATGGTGTGGAGGGTCTGGGAAACTCCTTATGCTGAGGAAGGGGCACTGGGATGGGCCCTGGCAGGAGCTTGCACGGGTTCTGGGGTGTTCTCAGGGGCCCAGCTCTGTCCTGCGTGCAGCAGTGCTGCTGGATGCTTCTGTCTTGTCCTGTCCCACTCCATCCCAAGGATCCTGCCTGTGCCCCATTCCACTCGCCCTGTGGCTTCCCATCCCCAGCACTGCAGGCCATGCTCACCTCTCCGGGTCTGGCTCTCACGGATCAGGAAGGCTCCGCTGTGGTTGCCCGGCAGCAGCAGCAGCTCCTCCGCTTTCTCCCGACTCACGCCCTCGTACAGCCACCTGCACGGCAGCGGGCAGTGGCAGAACTGATGCACCTTCTGTCCCAGGGATGGGGACAGAGACAGGGACAGGCGGCCCCGCGGAAATGCCCGTGGGCTGCGTGGCACCGGGATTCAGGTATGGGGCATTGGGACTGGGACACCGTTGTCACATCCCCAAGCTCAGCTCTGATGCCAGCAATGGGCCTGGAGGCGCAGGTGCAGCAGCTGCGGTTTGTCCTTGGGACAACCCAGGAGTTTGGGGTGTCCCGGCTGAGCCCCCCACGTGTCACCCTGGGCTGACACCCACCTGTGCCGCACTTTGGCCACGCAGCTGCTGGGGATGAGGCACTCCTTGCCGGACACCTGGGATGCCACCAGCCACCACTCCCCATCCCTGCAGGGAAGGGGGACACGATGTCCTGCGGCTGCGGGCAGGGGATCCCTACGGACCCGGGGATGGGTGCCAGCGGGGCCCGCTGGGTGCAGGACTTACTCAGAGAGGACGCGGAGCTGCTCACCCATTCTCAGCACAGCGGTCGCGCCCGTCCCGGAGGGGAAATCACACAGGGCGAGCGCCTGGAATCCGCCCGGGGCTGCCTGTGTGGGAAATGGGGACGGCGCGGGGACGGCGGCCAACGGTGCGGCGCTGAGCGGCTTCTCCCGGCTGGGCAGGATCCCCATCCCTCGCCGCACTGCGGGGTCAGCACGCAGTCCCGGTCCCCGCCCGTGGGCCCCACCGGCTGGAAGGGAAGGACGGAGCCCGGCCCGGCCCCGGCCGCGTCCGTGGCGGAGGGCAGAAGGGCCGGGACCCGCAGCCACACACACCACGGTGCCCACATCGGGCTGAGGGCTGCGGGCTCCCATCCCAGAGCGGCGTCAGCGTCCCATCCCCGGCACAGCGGCTCCGAGCCGGGCGGGGCAGGGGAGCCCCGGGACGGGGCCGAGCTCCCCAGGGAGTCCTTCGAGGAAACGGCCTCGGCCCCGGTACGATCCCTGGGGAGCTGCGGCCGCGGCGGGCGGGGGGCTCTGGGGACGGGCGGCCCACGTTGCCACCCCACGCCGTCCCGGGATCCCCTGGAAGTTGGGCCACCCGGTGCTCCGAGCCGTCGGCGCCGAGGGGAGCGGGGCGGCCGCGCTTCCCTTCTCCGCGCAGCACCGCACGTGGGCTCCTCGCCCGTGGGGAGGCACGGCCAGAGCCGCTCCGTGACCCGACCCCGCGATCTGAGCCCGCACTTCCCGCTGTCACCCACCCAGGATCACCCGCCTACCTGCCGCTCACGGCCGCCTCCATCGCGCCGGGCTCCTCGGGGCCGGGCGGGCGCCGAGCATCCCGGCGTTCGGACGCGGGGCTGCGACCGGCCGCAGCGGTGCGAAGCGAAGAGGCCGGGCTCTTCCAGGCGGCTGCGGCGCTTCCTGTGCCGGTTGCAGCGCGGCGCCGCGCCGTTCTCCTTTTCGCTCGGCGCCGCCGCGCAGCGCAGCCCCGCCGTGTGCGGGGGGGCCGGCGGCCGCCGCTGGGACGGCGCTACGGAATGGCGCGACCGCGGGCAAAGCGCAAACGGGTCCCGCTGCCCCCGGCGCCGCTCTCTGCCCCGGCCGCGCTCACATCCGCCGGTTGTGCTCTGACGGTTTCTGGTCAATCGCAAACCGCCGTGTCGGTGTGAAGTGCGCACGGGAAAAGAACGGCGCGGATACGAAAGCGGCCGCCGCTGGGCCTCGCGCCCCCGGAGGGCTTTGGGCTTCGCTTCGCTCCGCTCCGCTTGGTCAGAGCCGGTGCAGCGCCGGCGGCACGCGGGCCGGGCTGAGGGCTGAGCGCTGAGCGGGTGCGGCAGCGCGGCGCGTCTCCGGTGCCGTGAGCGGAGCGGCAGCTGGAGGCAGAGAGGGAGCCGCGGGGCGGTCCGGGACGCAGCCTCAGGTCCGGCGGAGGAGAAGGGCCCCGCACCCACCCACCTCTATCGGTTCCCCACGGAGTTACGATAACAGATGCGTTGGGGGGAAGAAGCTGCTGCGGTCACTCCAGCTTCCTCCTTGAAGCCGCCACCGGAGTCGCTGCCGTGTCTCGAAAGCCCCCGTGGCCAGACGTCCTTCCCCACCTCCCGCCCGGGGCTGCGGCGCTCGCACGGCTTGAATCAGAAGGAAAAGCGCCCATCAGCGCCCACACGGAGCGTCCCGGGCGGCATCGCCCCGCTGCTCGGCTGCCCCCGTCACGGAGCGCTGCCCGGCGGCGCAGGGCGACGCGGCACGGCCCGGGATCCACCGCGCAGCCCTGCGGAGCCCCGGCAGAGCCGTGCCCTTCAGCAGCCACGGCAGCGAAGCTCCCTTCTTCCTCATCTCCCTTTCAAAATGCCGAAATCCCATCCGTTTGCTCTCCCGGGCTCCATCCCACCAGCACCACGCACAGCCCCGCAGTGCGGTTGTTTCCTTTAGCTCATTTAATGCTGTGTTTGTGTTCCCTTCAGTCCGTGTTTTCATGAGGGAACTCGGGGAGGAATCACTTCTACGTGCCGCTGCCCTCAGTGCAGCGCCCGGCAGCGATGCCTGCTGCAACTCCTCTTACACACTGGGCACTTGCAATCAGCAGGGATGAATTTTTTTTTCACCTGGCACCCAAAGGCTCGGCCTGCCCTCCCCCGACCAGACCTCACGCTCACCCTGCCGGGCAGCTCCTCCTGTTTCTCACCTTTCAGACACTTTGTACTTCTGGAAAACACTGCATCTCAGTGGGAGTTCCCCACGTGTGAACCGGAGCCCACCCCGGGCAGAGCCACGGCACCAGGACCAACCTGAGACCAAAAGCTTCACTGCTTCTCAGCCCCAGGCGCTCCCCGTGAGCACAAGCAGGCTGTCATCTTGAGAGCAGAAACTGGATCTGAGAAGCAGAAGATGAACAGCTGTTCTCAGCACCGCTCTGTGCGCACCTGGCTGGATGCACACAGTTACAGAGCCAGCAGGGCTTCCCCTGCGTTCTGCAGCACCCCCTGCTTTGTCCCGGCAGGACAACTGCTGAGCAGGACAGACAGCCGCAGCACTCACTGCCTTTGGAGGCAACTCCGGGTGGCAAACCATCAGCTGGAAGATCAGAGGCAGAGCTGGAAGCTCCTCTGTGCACTCAGGCACAAACCCGCAGCGATGCCTGCAGACACCCCTGCCTGAGGACAGCCCCCAGGACTGCCCTGCCAGGCCGGGCTGTGCCTCACAGCTGCAGTGCAGGCCCTGCCAAGAGAAACACAGTGAGCAGGCAGGGTAACAATGAAACTCAGTTACAGCTTTATTTAATAACCGGTACAAAGTCCCCCTCAGTCAGAGCCTCCCGGTCCCATTCCCTACCTGAAATGGAGCAGAACATGAGCGTGAGCCTCGGGGGAGCTGCCTCCCAGTGAGTCAGGACTGCTCACCTGGTAAGCATGGATGTTTTGCTCGTCTATTGAGACCTGCAGCATCCTGACCACTCATCCCTTTTCACCCATTAACAGCCAGACCCTGGCACACAGCAGGCATTTCCTTCTTGCTCTCAGTGACCCAGACAGATGCAGAAAGGCAGCAGAACTGCGAATTCCACAAAGACGATGAACAGTACCTGCACAAAGGCATTCACTGCTCAACTGCTGGCCTGAGTCACATGGACACAGGCCATGGCAGTCACTGCCATTCACTGGCATTGCCTGAGCCTCAGTGAAGTCCCTGTGCAGACACGCTGCCTGGGGATGGCAGCAGTGAGAGGCAGAATTGGCAGTGCAGGAGATAGGGGATCTCTGGATGACGAGGGGCACTGCTGCCCATTCCACAACCTACTTGATGCTAAAGATCCTTCCTGTGCCAGGGCAGAACAGTGACTGTGCCTTAACTGCACTCGGGTCCCTGCAGGAAGGGCAGCCTGGAGGCCAGAGCTGCTGCACTTTAATCCCTTGTACTCTGATGAATAGTGCACCTCAGTTAGTGTTCACTTGTTAATTGCTTTGCCCTTTCAGGAGGCTCCGGTAAGAAATCACTCTGCTCCTTCTTAACACACATACAGAGATGAGACCACGACAGTATTTCTGACTGTTGGTTTTCCCACAGCTGCTTGGCACGCCCCGAGTCCTGGAACACAAAGACCTCCTGGTGGGCTCCATGCTCCAGGCACAGCTCTGCCTCGAGCGTCACAGCATCATGGCCTTGCTTTCCCGTGTCCCACAGATGCCATTCCGACTGCACCACAAGGGTCCTTTAGCAGAAGCACAACTAGAAAGCAATTCTAAAACCTCACAAAGCCACAGAAATTATATATAAATGAACAGGGGAGACAATGGCTGTCATCTGCATTGATATACAGCACAGACAGGAGATGGTATCAGCATGTACAGTAACGTGATTTACTAAGACTGCAGAATGTTAAACGGGTTGTATAAAGAGGCTCCGATACCAAGGGCATACAGAAAGGACCAAAGTAATGCCAAGTACAGACTACTAAGGAGGTGGCAGCTCAGATGGGCATGCACAAGTTAGAGAGAACAGTTAATGCCACGTTGTATGAAATGCTAGATTCTGAGTGGGTTCAGTGGGGCGAGTGGAATTGTCTGAATCCAGAAGAAGGACTCCTGCTTAACAGGACACTTCCATGGTTTGAGGTGCATCCTGGAGATCAATTCCGTCTGGGGTTCCAGCACTGCCTTCACCGTGGTTGCTGGCGTGAGACCGGCTGCGGATGCTCTCCCCAGAGCCCACGCTAGAAGAGGAGTGAGTACGTGAGCGCATCAGCCTGGTCATACTGGCTGCTGGCACTGCAAGAGAGAACAAGAGCAGGACTTACAAAGGGAGGAAGCTCGCAGGCTCAGAGCAAGTACCGTGGTCACCAAGTATGTGCTGCTGGGTAAGCGCAGGAAGAGCTGTACCCTCAGGAAGAAAACCCACTCCTCACTGCCAAAACGAAGTCTTTGCACGTCTAAAGCAAGATGTTTAAGGCCCAATTTCAAAAGGTCCAAGGTGAGCGAATGCCAGAAATGTAACTGATCATTTGCAGGTGCAGTCACAGTGAGTGTGTGCAAACCAAGGCAGCTGTTGTACAAGTGACCTTTTGAAAGTCAGTCTCGTCACTCTTGAAAACCACAGAACTGAAATCATGCAACAGTCAACAAAATACAAATGAAAGGTGAGAAACCATAGCAAACACGCTGTACGATGGAACAGCCTAGCCCAGAGCAGGCCAGCAGGACATGCTGAGACGGAGCAGTGCACCCGAAGGATCATTCAACTCAGTACACAGACTTGGGCCAAGGCAGATGCACAGTTGAAGGTACCTGACTCAGTGCTTAGGTGGCTGAGCTGCACATAAGGGACTGGAAACAACACGAGACAAGGAAAGGGATGAATACAGGAAAGAGCCAATTAGTTGCAGAGCGTGACTACAGCTGCACTGCTGCTGGGATCCCCGGCTGCTTTCCCTTCCACTCCCAGCTCACACTGCGCTGCAGCTCCCGCTACTTGAGAACACAGCTGCTAACGAGCATCTCATCAAAAATGTACCTGGCCCAAATCTCTCTGGTGATGTTAGCTGGAAGCTGCAGTGCACTTGGTGACCTCACCTCCCCACCACTGAACACACAACTGCACAGTAGAGACAGAATTTTCCTGAGGTGGGGAAACTGCAATATTATTCTGCAGTTCTCAATACTGGACAGAAATTCTTGCCTTTCCTGGCGTTGATG